TGGGTGCGTCGCAACGAGCAAGAGGGGGACGCCGTGCGGGTCCCGCAGGGGCGTCGCGACGAGCACAGTTTAGGGCGGCTCGCGGGCTGCAGGGGCAGCTCCCATGGGCTGCAGAGGCAGGCACGGCTGCAGGGGTAGCGCCCACGGGCTGCAGGGGCAGGCACGGCTGCTGAGGTAGCACCCACGGGCTGCAGGGGCAGGCACGGCTGCTCGGGAGGGCGGCGCGCGGGCTTCAGGGGCAGCTCCCACGGGTTGCAGAGGCAGACACGGCTGCAGGGGCAGGCACAGCTTCAGGGGCAGGCACGGATGCAGTGGCAGCAAGGTCGCAGGGGCAGCACCCGGGGTGCAAGGGCAGCACGGCCGCAGGGGCAGCGAAAAAAAAAAAAAATCAGTTAGGGCAGGGCGGAACGTTCGGTGGGCCCTAGGAACGATTCTGCTCTAATACCATGTGCGAATAAGAACGAGGAAAATGAATTGACTAGGAATGAGAAAGGTACAAGTATGAAACCCTAGAAAAGCTGTACCCCCTATTGACTACCCCACTACAGCCTACACAGGCTATATCATGTATGTCTTACAGCTGAAGCTGCTGGCACACGGCGCAACTGGAGCAACTGGCACACGGGCAACTGGAGCAACTGGCACACTGGCAACTCGAGCAACTAGCAGACGGGCAAGTGCAGCAACTGGCTCCGCGGCTAGACGAGCAGAAGGAGCAACTTGCTCACGGGCGACTGGAGCAACGGGCTCACGAGAGAACTGGAGCAACGGGCTCACGGGCGACTGGCGCAACGGTCTCACGGGCGACTGGAGCTGCTGGCTTAAGGCGGCCACCCCCCGTTCAACCTCCTCCATTGTCCCAAAACTCCCGTTCACACACCCCCTGATGAACCCTAGCTCCACACCCACGACACCCCCCCTAGCGCCATGCCCGCGGCTTCCACACATCCACCCCCCTCAGCGGCAGCTGCAGTAGTGGGAGACGGAGGAGGAGGAGGAGCAAGTGACGACACACACATCCGCCACCCCCATACCCGCCACCCCGCAGTTGCACGAGGGCAGGAGGCGGCAGGGGCGGTTCGCGGGTTGCAGGGGCGGTTCGCGAGCTGCAGGAGGGGCAGCGCGCGGGCCCCCCGAGGGCGCCACGGCGGGTGACGGCAAGGGGGCCCCGCGCGGGCCCCCGAGGGCGCCTCGACGGGCAACGGGAGGGGCTGCGCGCGGGCCCCCAGGCGCCTTGACAAGAGACGGGAGGGAGCGACGCGCGGGCCCCCAAGGCGCCGCGACAAGGCGACGGGAGAGGATGGCGCGCGGGCCCCCAGGGCGCCGCGATGAGGCGACGGTGTTACGTGATGCTATAATCTGCATTCACGTCTGTCTGCCTCCCATCATATGTTCGTGCGTTGCATGCGTGGTGTGAGCGTGTGCAAGAATTTCTGTTTTCTGTGGTTTGGATTCTCTGAGTATGTGTGAATGTTATTTGGCTTGAGCAAATATCTGAAGTGACTCCACCGCTCAAGTGCTTTCCGACGAGCCGAGGATCGCTTCAATCGGAGCACGAACGAGAAAGTTACGAACGTTTGAAGTTCGTATGCCTTTCATGTTTGGTTGTGGCGACTATGGGAAGTTGTGGGAATGACTCTATATGGGGTACAGACTTTTGGGGGTTGGGAAATTCGTCCCCATCACGGTAGATGCTACCAAATGGTTGGGAGAAGCCAAACCAGGTTGGCAAGTGTGGCCAAGTTGGGTTGAGGTGGATTGTGGAGGTTGGGATATTGACAAAGGTCAAAGTTGGGTTGCCTATGGGGAAGGGAATTGTGTGGCATGGAGTTTCCTTTGGTTGGGGATGTGAGAATGAAAACGAGGAATGATTGCATTGAGCAGCATGATGAGTACAAGTAGGAAACCATAAAGTGTTGTACCCCATATTGACTACCCCACTACAGCCTAAACAGACTATAGCATATAAGTTCAACACACCCCCATAGGCAAAGTGGGGGAGAACAAGGGGTCACAAGACCAGTCAAGAGAAGCAAGGCAAGCTCAGGGTGGATCACAACGTCACCACACAATCTGAGCACAAGCACAAGGCCACAAGGCCAGTTCACATGCAGAGTTATAAATCAAGAAGAACAAGCAAGGCAGTGATCTCAACCTAGCAAAGGTAAGCATGCAAGTGCAGGTGTATATAGATCATAGTACAAGCAAAGTCAAGAAGTGAGCAAGTGAGGCCAAGTAGGCACAAGACCTAGCAAAGTACAAAAGCGCTGATGATCACAAGGCGGAAGTGCCTTGGTAAAGATATCAGCAGTGTTGGCCTCAGAGGCCACGTAGGCAAGGCGCAGTTGACCGCGCTGCTGCAGCTCACGAGCAAGGAAGTAGTGGAGAGCAATGTGCTTCGTTCTGTGCTCCCGACACAAGGCCAGCATGGCCTTGTTGTCTACGTACAGAACTGGAGGAGAACGAGGCGGCTCTCCCTGGTCAGTCAGCAGGTAGGTGAGCCAGCGTAGCTCCTGTGCAGCCATGGCCCTTGCGTAGATCTCGGCCTCACAGCTGGAGCCGAGAACAGAAGACGAGCGGGTAGACCGCCACGAGACAGAGCTGGAACCAAGGCTGAAGGTGTAACCCTGTGACGACCGCTGCGTAGCCTGGTCGTCAGCCCAAGAAGCGTCCGCATGACCTGTGAGGACCACTGGACGTCGCCCTCCAAGCACTAGCCCCATGCCCGACGTACTGCACAAGTAGCGCAACACCCTCTTTGCTGCAGCCATGTGCTCTGGTCGATGTCTCCCATGAGCAACATAGCGTGCCAAGATGCTAAGAGGGTATGCAAGGTCAGGTCGTGTGCAGGTCATCAGGTACATGAGGCAGCCAACAAGCTCTGGGTATGGGCCACTCGGCTCTACGGACTCATCCGAAGGCAGAGCTGAGAGCGACTGGCGAGTAGACAGAGGAGTGGCCTGAGGTGAGGAGTACGTGAAGTCGAAGCGCTAAAGGACCTGCTGCACCATGTGTGACTGAGTCAGGGTAATGGTGCGCTGTGCTCTGTCCCGGGTGATCTGCAAGCCAAGGTAGCTGCGCAGTTCACCCAGGTCTGTGCACGTGTGTCTCTTCTGCAGCTCGGACTTCATGTGGGCGAGTCCAGCAGTGTCAACTGTGGCAAAGACCAAGTCGTCGACGTACACAAGGATGTAGAACGGCGGCAAAGAGGTGTCGGTGCGCAGAAACAGCGACGGGTCGGCTGTAGAAGGAGCAAACCCAAGAGCCGCAAGTGTAGTCCTCAGTGTGTCGTGCCACTCACGGGGCGCCTGGCGGAGACCGTAGACTGGCCGCCGGAGGCTCCACTGGGTACCAGAAGGAAACGACCCAGTGAAGCCAGGTGGGCGGCGCAGCCAGATCTCCTCATGCAGGCTGCCCTGCAAGAAAGCTGTGCTGAAGTCAAGAGAGTGAAGCTCGTAGTCACGCTGAGCAACTATGTGCAGCAGTACCCGAAGAGTGGTCGTCTTCGGGGTGGGAGAGAAGGTATGAAAGTAGTCAACTCTCTGCCGCAGACTGAAGCCTCGAGCCACGTAACGCGCCTTGAAGACAGGCGGAGAACCCGGCGGCCGCTTCACCCTGAAAATCCACATGCCACTGACGATGTTCGCCCCAGGTGGGGGAACCTCGTCGACGTAGGTGCCTGTGGACTTCCAGGAAGCCATCTCTGCGTCCATGGCTGACTGCCACTGAGAGGAGTAGGGACCCTCGATCGCCTCAGCGTACGATCGAGGAGTCGGGATGTCTGGTGCATCCGGGTCTCCCTCAGGGGCAATCAGCGTGGACACGAGATGAGGCAAAGCAGCAGCAAAAAACTGGAACTCCTCCTGCCTGTCCTCAAGGATGTCCGTGCTAAGAGCACACTCACCCCCGACGGACGGAGGACAGAAAGACTCAGACTCAGCAACAAGACTAGCAGCGTAGTCCAGACAACAGCGAGCAGCAAAGTCGACCAGCTCAGCCACTAAGGCAGACGCAAAAGTGGACTCAAAAGAAGGGTCAGTGAAAAAAGTAGCCAAGAGACGTGTGACAGTAGGACTGGCAGCACGAAGGGAGTCAGACTCAGGGTCAGCAAGAGTAGGAAGAGAGGACTCAGGAGGAGACGGCAACGGGACACGCAGAGGAGCAGTGGAAGGACACAGTGCCATCTGGTGTGTGCCGGGGACTGCAGGAGGATGCGGACGCGAAGCACGACCACTAGTGCGAGCAGCACGAACACGCGACTCAGGACGAGACGCAGGCTCACGACGCTCAGCAAGACCTCCAGTAGGACCAGTGTAGGGAGAAGGAGCAGGTAGGGGGGAGGCGGGCTGTAACTGTGACTGCGACTGGACAGGCATTGGACACTCTAAGGGAGGAGCAGGACCAGTAGAGGGCGGGAGACCAAGAACCTGCTCAAGGAGCGGAACGAAGTACGGCCGCGGCCGCGCAGCGACTCGAGAAACAGCAGGGACGGCACCAGTACTCCCAACGGGCACAGTGCGGTAGGGGAAGAGACGGTAGTAAGGTACCGACTCGTCAAAGGTGACGTCCTGGGAGGACAGAACACGGCGCGAGGCGGGGTGGTAGAACTGCCAACCAGGCGCGTTAGGGGGGAAGCCAAGGAAGATGCAGGGAACAGCACGGGGGGACGGATTGTCAGTAGAGAAGTCGCGGACAAATGCCCGAGAACCCCAGACCCGAAACGCAGACGCATCGCCGACCTTCCCCGTCCACCGCAAGGTGGGGGAGGTCTCTGGCAAGGAGACTCGGGGGTGAAGGTTGAGCTGATGCGCGGCGTAGTGAACCGCAAATGGCCACAGAAAATGGGGGGCAGCCGCATGCATCATGGACGTACGAGCGACGTCCATGACCATGCCAACGCGGCGCTCAACAATCCCATTTTTCTGTGGAGAGGCCGGAAGCGTGAAGGTCTGGCGGATGCCCTGTGCACGACAGAAGGCTCCCAGACGGGCAGAGGAAAACTACCCGCCTCTGTCAGAGTGCAGACGCAGAACAGGAAAGTCCGAGCCGAAACTCTCCCTGAGCTGGAGACGAGCTGCGCGGATCCAGTCAATCAACACCTCAGTGACGCCACCCTTGTTGCGCAAGGGGAAGACTGTGGTGTAACGTGAGTAGTCGTCAACCACCAACAGGAAGTAACGCTCGTGCCCCTGTCTGCGGACGCGGGCGGGGCCCCACACGTCCATGTGGAGAGTCTGCAGCGGAGCCTCTGTCGGAGGAAACTCGGAGGAGTGCGGGGCGGCACGCTGTTGCCCCTAGATGCAAGGGATGCAGGTAGGGCCAGGCCCCGGAGGTAGGGGAGGAAGAGACCGGGGGAGACCAGAGACAAGGAAACGGGAGGCCATGCCTCCGAGACGAGGCAGGGAGGGTTGACCAAGGCGGTGGTGCCAAAGGAGAGTCTGGTGGGACAGGAGACGACACGAGCAGGGAGCAGACTCAGGACCAGACCTCGACGCTCCAGCAAACACCTGACTCAACGCAGCTACCTGACCAGACGCAGAAACAGGAGGAGACTCAGTGGTCAGTGTGTACAGGCTCGACCCCGGCTGACGGGTAAACGTGGCCAAGTGTCGGCCCGTCCGAGCGTCCGTGCAGTGGGTCACCCGCTGACTCGCAGGAGTGAACTGGTCAACCCCCCTATCCTGTAGGTCCGCTCCACTCACCAAGTTCGTAGAGAACGAGGGGAGGTAGAGACCAGACAGAGTGCCAGAGGGGGCTGCAGGACACGGTAAGACAATGGAGAAGCTAGCAAGGACAGGACCCCCAGAGGGGTCCGCCAGGGAGACTGCAACCGGCCGACTGAGCGGCGTAAGAGTGGTGCGGTCTCGAAAGAAGGAGCGGGACGCACCCGAGTCAAGGGTGAAGGTGTGCAAGGCCTGAGCCGACGTAGTACCTGAGAGAGCAGACTCACCAGCACCAGAGGCAGCAGATGCAGTAGCACCTGGGGCAGCAGACGCGCTAGCACCTGGGGCAGCAGACGCACTAGCACCTGGTGCAGCAGACGCACTAGCACCTAGAGCAGCAGCCTCACCAGCACCTAGAGCAGTGGCCTCAATGCCTGGGTCAGGCGGTACACACAGGTAACAGTCACCCTCAACACTAGTAGACACAGCATACATGGCAGCAAGGATAGCATCATAGTCAAGATCAAAGATGGCAACCCCCGCCCTAGAGAGATCTCCCCAGCGAGAGATCTCTGACGTCTCAGGGAACTGGTGACGCCACGCGTCCGTCAGGCGGCCGAAGCAGTGCTGGGTGGAGTGCGGGCCCCCGCACTGCTCACCAGCTCGGTCGCCGGTACGGAGGACGTAAGTGCAGGGACCAGTGCCCCCACCACGCTGACGAGCAGCGTACCACTCACGAAGCTGCTGAGGGGACAGGGTCTCATGACCGCGCTGCTGCTGCTGGCGCGGACCACCACCTGACCCACTCCTCTGCGTAGACTCGCGACCCGCTCCACCACCGCCTCCGCCGCCGCCTCCGCCGCCTCCTCCACCGCCGCCTCCTCCTCCACCTCCGCCGCCTCCTCTCCCTCCGCCACCACCGCCGCCTCCTCCGCCTCCACTGCTGCCGCCGCCGCCACCGCCCCCGCCACCACTCCCACCACCACCCCCACTCCCTCCACTGCCTCCACCACCACCTCCACCGCCCCCGCTAGCCCCTCCATTTCCCTTGCCCCCCTTGCCCTTGCTGGTTCGGCGTCTCCCACTAGGGGCAGACGCAGCGCCGACCCCGTAGAAACCAACGAGGTCGGCAGCAGCAGCAGCAGCAGAAGCAACAGAGGGCAAGAGGGGGGAGGGGGAACACCCCTCAAAGACGGGGGTGCGAGGGTCACCACGAGAGGCTCCTACAGTGACTATGCTCGTCTCTGCTGCTAGGAGGGCCTTCTCGAGGAGGTCAACGGTGAGAGTGGTGGGGCAAACTTAGAGGAAGTGGTCCCTGACTACGCGGAGAGAGTCAGGGAGCCGGGTGACTATGTAGTAGAGGGTGATGTACATGGCAGGGGGGTTCTTGGCGCAGAACTCAGCAGGAAGTGCAGCGCGGTAGCGAGTGTCACTAGTGCGGAGGTGCGTAATGAGGTCAGCGACTGTGGGAATCGCAGCAAGGTCAGGGAAGACGTACGGTAGCATGAGGCGGCTCAGTGCAGCAGTAGCAGGGGAAGAGTAGCGTGCAACTACAGCGTCGTACAAGGTCTGAGCACTCTTGTACTGGCTAAAGTGCGCATGCTCAGTGGTCGGTAAGTGGCGACGCACAGCAAGACGGGCAGCAGCATCTTGAGTCGCCCACTGTGAGCAAACAGTGCTGTCAGTAGTAGCAGCCGGGGCAGGGGAGGCACCAGATGTGAGGTCGAACAAAGAGAGGCCGTCTGCCCTATCGCACTGGAGGAACAGCTGGAGGTCATCGACCCAGACCTCAAAGTCAACAGCACGGCCCTCGGTGTCAAAGGTAAGGACACTGGGGGTAGCCATGACCGCAGAGGTCTAGCGAGGAGGGGGCCCACCAGTACTAGTAAGTAGGGCCGGGGCGCATCGGAAGGACTGGTAGCGGCCTGCGGCTCGGCTGCTGGGCGGCTCGGCTGTCGGGCGGCTCTGCGGCTAGGCGGCTCGGCGGCTCGGCGGCTCGGCTGCTGGGCGGCTCGGCTATCGGGCGGCTCGGCTGTTGGGCGGCTCGGCTGCCGGGTGGCTCGACGGCTTGGCTACTGGGCGGCTCGGCTGTCAGGCGGCTCGGCTGTCGGGCGGGTTGGCTGCTGGGCGGCTCAGCTGCTGGGCGGCTTGGCTGTCAGGCGGCTAGGCGGCTCGGCCGTCGGGCGGCTCGGCTGTCGGGCGGCTCGGCGGCTCTGTCGCTGGGCGGCTCGGTAGAGGCGGCGTCAGGGCCGCTTAGGAGGTGGCGTCGGGGCCGCTTAGGAGCGGCGCAAGGGGCCGCGAAGGGCGGCGTCGGGGCCGCTTAGGAGCGGCACAAGGGGCCGCTAAGGCAGCGGGAGGGGCCGAGGAGCAGCGCAAGGGGCCGCAAGGGCGGCGTCAGGGCCGCGGAGGGCGGCACGAGGGGCCGCAGGGGCGGCGGCGTGGCCGAGGAGCGGCGCAAAGGGGGCCGCAAGGCTGGCACGCGGGGCCGACGAGAGGCGCGTAGGGGCGCAGGGGCGGCGCGCGGGGCCGACGAGAGGCGCGCGGGGCCGCAAGGGAGGCTCACGGGGCCGAAAGGGCGGCGCGCGGGGTCGACGGGTGGCGCGAGGGGCCCCAAAGGCGGCGCGCGGGTCCGTGAGGGTGGCTCAAGGGGCCGTGAGAGGGGCCGCTAAGGGCGGCGCGACTCGGGCAGGAGCGAAGCACGCTCCGGACAGGAAAAATATATATCGTGGTGGGTCCAATAGAGTGTTCCACTAGGGAACCTGCTCTGAAACCATGTGAGAATGAAAACGAGGAATGATTGCATTGAGCAGCAAGAGGAGTACAAGTAGGAAACCCTAAAGTGTTGTACCCCATATTGACTACCCCACTACAGCCTTAAGAGACTATAGCATATAAGTTCGGCAGGCCGCGGCTGTGCGTGGGCCTGACTAGCGCGTGGGCGGCGGCCTAGAGGAGCGTCGCGGCGGCCTACGGGCGGGGCTGCGTAGCTCTGGGCGCGCTGGCTGCGACCTGCGCGCGGGCGGCTGAGGGTCGTGCGTCGGCCTAGGGGCGAGCAGGGCCTACGGGCGACGGCCTTCTGGGGCTCGCGAGAAAAAAAATCGGGCCTCCCTAGGCGGCGGTTTTCCTACGCGCGCTAAAACGGCGGGGACGCGCTCGGGCTGTTAGCGGGCTGCACACGGGCAGCGTGAGAGGAGAGCGCCCACTACAGCCTAAACAGACTATAGCATATAAGTTCGACAGGGGACTCCTTGGGACCTTCACTCTCGTCCTCCTCTTCCCTCCCACCTGGTTTCTAGCTACTCTAACTCTCTTGTGTAGTAATTGTGTAATTGTGGGACTCTTGTGATTGAGTTAAGTTCTTATGGCAGCATACCCCCCTGTGCGCCAAAATTGATAACTCGAGAAATACTTCACTGTTTTGTACGATTCGACTTGGGAATTGTAGCTACGGACTAGAGCTACAACATATCCGAAATTTATGAAGTTTTGACATTGCGTATTTTGTCGACGACGTTTCTTGTGAGCGCGACGATTCTTTCCAGAAATTGAGACCAACGATTTTGTGATATTTCGGCTCCTAATCTTCATAGACTCCGTCCTTAGTCTCTAGCAAGTGGTATCAGAGCCAATTAAGGACTTTGTGGAGAGTCTACTGAAGTGTGAAGACCCTCCTAGACCCACCATGACATGTGGGCGTGCCTAAGTGGAGTTCTGGAGGCTGGATGTGACTTCCGCTAAGGGGAAACTCTGCCGAAATTTCATTGGCGTCGACACTTGTGAAAATATTGTGGGAGTTCGGTGTGGACAGCAAAGTGGGAGCTCGAACCTGTGATTGGGAGCAGAGGAGATGAGTCAAGGGAGTGGAGAAGGAGCTGAGAAAAAGAGTGAGCCGCCACCATCCAAGATTGAGGCATTGGATGGCTCCAACTATGAGGAATGGAGTGGGCAGATGAGGAGCACCTTCAAGCGCTACAAGCTGCTCAAAATTGGCTATGGGAGAGGAGAAGATGCCCGAGGAAGGGGATGCCCGCGATCGGTGGATTGAGCAGAGCGCGGTACTGTACGACTTGATTCTACAGTCGGTCAACAACGACATGTTCCAGCACATCAAGGATTTGGTGGAGCTTGATGACTCGGGACCGAAGGCGTGGAAGCTGCTACGCGACGTGGTTCAACCCAACACGCTGCCGATGGTGATCGTATTGGAGAAGGAGCTGGCTGCCCTCTCCATGCGGCCGGAAGATGATGTGAAGCCGGCCCTTGACAAGATCAAGGACACCTATGCGAGGATGGCAGCGGCGGGCAGCAAGGTGTCGGAGATGCAGCAGTGCACCAAGATCATCTCGGTGCTCGACAACTCGTGGGACAACCCACCCTCAACGCTCAGCAGGACAAATGGACGCTTGAGTGGCTACGGCACCAGATCCTGCAAGAGGACTTCCGCAGGCGCCACACGGGAGGTGGTGCTGCCAACAAAACTGCTGAGGGGTATGGAGCTGCAGGAGGCAGCAGAGGAAGAGGGGGTGGGAGAGGCCGAGGCCGTGGGAGAGGCTTTGGCAGAGGGAGAGACCAAGGTGACTACAATGAAGGGCATGGGAGCTCTGGAGGCAATGGGAGCACCCGAATGGAGGGTGCGTGCTGGTACTGCAAAAAGGCTGGACACTCACGGTTCAAGTGTTTCAGCCGGCCTGAAGGATGGGCGCCTCTAGGCATGAAGCCGCCAAGTGGTGAACGTGCACGAGGTGGCACTATGCAATGATCAGGTGCACAAGGTGATGGTGCACAAGGTAAAGCCGACCCTGGGATGTTCCTCATGGTTGAGGATGTGCAAGGGATTGGGGGTGATGTGGGTTCAGTTGGGAAGGTTGTGATGCACCCCCTCACTCACTGGGTGATCGATTCAGGTTGCACGAGTCACATGACCCCACGGGCAGATTTGCTTGATGAGGTGAAGCCCCCTGGGAAGATCAAGTTTGTGGCTGCCGCTTCAGGTGCTTTGCTCCCTGTGATTGGTGTTGGGAATGCCAAGGTGATGGGAGCCAATGGGGGGCTTGTGGGACTTGGGAATGTCCTGTTGGTTGAAGGTTTATCCGTTAACCTCCTCTCTGTGCGCCGGCTGCAGAAAAGCAAGGCAAAGGTTACATTCGGCCCAACCAGCTGCCATGCAAAGCTTGGGAAGTTGCTGCTGTGGGATTTGGAGGAGAAGAGCAGCTGCATCAAGGACCTGTGGCAGCTGCCCATTATCCCATGGAAAGGGAAACCACCAGCAACGGCAAAGGCAGCGGCAGCGGCTAAAGAAAATGCGGGAGGAGAGGAGACTGCACCAACTGCTGGGGCCTTGGATGCAGTCAAGAAGGTGCAGCAGCCACAGCAGCCACATGGTGAGGTGCTTGCTGGTGTGGATGCGACAGCTGCATGGGCAAAGGCTTCATCTGGGAGTGGTGAGGCTGATTGGGAGACGTGGCATGAGAGGATGTGCCATGTGAACATTCCTATGCTGCAGAAGTTGGTAAAGGAAGGGTTCTTGAAGGGGCTGGAGGTGAAGGGGGCAGCAAAGGAGATTGGGAGCTGCCCTACCTGCCTTGAGACCAAATTTATGAAGTTTCCCTTCAGCAGCAGCACGGGACCAGCCAAGGCACCACCTGCAGAAAGGTGCTCGCACTCTCCTTGGGCGTGCAGGGCTGCCGGATCCGTTTTGGGTGACAGCACTGCGGTAGGTCACCCTTGTGAAGAACAGGTTGCTGTCGACTGTGGGGGATAAGAAGTGGGTTCCCTACACCAAGTGGTATGGGAGTGCACTAGTAGTCAACATGCTGAGAGCCTACGGCTGCATGGTGGTGTTTCATGTGCCTAAGGAGAAGAGGGAAAAACTGGAAGCTTTTGGGAGATGGGGTGTGCACTTGGGGCTTGCTAAGGATCTCAAGGGCTGGCTGATTTGGGACTTGACCAGCCAGCAGCTGACTGTATCAAGGGATGTGAAGTTCCTTGAGTCCTTGTACAATAAGGAGAGGAAGCAGCAGCAGCAGAAGCTCCCTACTACACCGCTGATCATTGAGGCCGATGAGGTGCAGCGGCCTTCGAGGCAAGTGCAGGTCACTGTCTCAGAGGAGGAGATTTCTTGGGTGACTGAGGATGGGGGAGAACTTGAGGTGGAGGAGTAGCACCAGCAGCGGCAGCAGCAGCAGCAGCAGCAGCAGCAGCAGCAGCAGCAGCAGCAGCAGCAGCAGCCACAGCAGCAGCTGCAAGGTGCTCCACAAGGTGCCGCACGTCCGGCTGACCATCCTAGGAGGGATGTGCGCCCTCCTAACCGGCTGACCTATCCGAGCTTTGGCAAGCCAAAGGTGGTAAGGGCTGGGAGTGTGGCTGAGCAGTGTGATGAGGAAGAGATAGCACACTGCCACTGGGCAGTCGTCCCTGAGCCCAAGACGCTAGCTGAGGCATTGAGCGGGCCCGATGCTGAAAAGTGGAAGCAGAGTGTGAAGGAGGAGTATGATTCTCTGCTGGAGAATGAGACGTGGGAGCTGTATGAGCTGCCATATGGGAAGAAGACCATTTCTTCCAAGCTGGTTTTCAGGCACAAGTACGGACCTGATGGGGCGCTGACTCGCTACAAGTCAAGGCTTGTGGCAAAGGGGTTTCAGCAGACGAAGGGAAAGGACTTCAACGAGCTCTATGCTCCTGTGGGGAAAGGCACAACACTGCGGGTGTCATTGGCAATGGCAGCAAACCGTGGATGGCGGGTGAAGCAGATGGACATTACCACCGCCTTCCTCAATGGGATCATTCTGGAGTAGCTGTACATGTTACAGCCTGAGGGGTTGGATGATGGGAGCGGCAGGGTGTGT